CAGAGGAGTTGCAGGATTTAGGGACGCTGAGAAGTTGGAAGGTGGGTCGAGAGGCTGGGGGGAAGAATTTGGGGTTCCGGGAGCTGGAGGAATTTGGGGGTTCGGGATTGTGCATATTGAGGTTGGAGGAGTGGAGAGAAGCTGAGGAACTGGGAGGAGGTGGGGGCTCAGAGAGTTTGGGGACTTAGGGGGCGGGTGCCGAGAGGGATCTGGGAGCAGAGAAAGTTGTGGTGTTGGGGATTTAGGAGTCTGGAGGGTTGGGGAGTTGGCCTCCTGGAAGGCAGCTGCGATATTAGGGGCTCACGGGTTCAGAGGAGCCGGGGGTAGAAGTCGGGGTCCCAAGGAGTGTGGAGTGTGGGAATTGGGGGAGCAGTTCCAGCACCCTCCCGCCCCCTCTCCTTGCCTGGCCCGGGGTCCTGGTACCCGCCAGCCAGACTGAGCAGCCAGGGGGCTGGCAGGAAAGCCCAGGCCCCCGCGGGCCGCGGGGGGCCCCAGCCTACCTCTGGTGAGTCTCTCCGGGCGCTGGGTCTGCGGCGATGGCGGCGGGGCCTGAGCAGTGGAGGATAAATGTCCACGCGAGGGGCGGGGGTGGCAGCGGTGCGGAAACCACAGGCCTCCAGGCTTCCTGGATGCATTACTCATCCGCCCACCCTCAGTGGAGGCCAAGGGGCGGGCCAAGGGCTGCCCAAAAGGGATGCATCCTCCTCCTCTCCCTCCCTCTGGGCCTCGCCCTGGCCACCCACCCCCATCTCCACATCAGGCAACCAGTCCTTCCAGGCAGCCCCCGTGGAGGGCTTCGAGGCAGGATAACCCCCCACCCAGGGCAATTCCCTAAAGTCTCCAAACTCTCTCCAGAGTCCACCCGAGGCCCCCCCCAAACTCCCCATGGCTGAAGCCCGAATCAGTTCATCCCTTTAATAAACATTGCTTTGTGCACCTACTGTGTGCCAAGCACACCCTCCAAAATCCCTCTCCTGGTTGATCTGAGAGCTGGGTGAAGGGTGAGCAAGGCAGAAAGGGAACAGGTTCAGTACAATCAGTGAAGAGAGAGAAAGCAAGTGAGTGGATGAGGAATACAAGGTGGGAGAACTGAGGCACGGAGGGGTTAAGTGACTTATCCAGGATCGCAGTTAGCAAAGTGGCAGAACTGGGATTCGAACTCAGATGGCCTGGAGCCAGAGCCTAGTCTGAACCCCTCTCAAAAAACATAGGCAGGGGCACCTGGCTGGCTTAGTCTGTGGAGCTATGACTCTTAATCTTGGGGTGGTGAGTTCCAGCCCCACGTTGGGTGCAGAGATTACTTAAAATAAAATCTTAAAGGGGGGGGAAACAAATACTTAGGCAAACGGCCAGCATTTATCTAGCACCAACTGTGTACCAGGCACTCAGCATAAATTTTTTCACTTAAAGCTCACAGTAAAAACTAAATAAATTTCACAGTAAAACCTCTGAGATGGGTACTAGTATCATTCCCATTTTACAGATGAGGAAATAGGAGCATAGAGGGATTGAAGAACTTTCCCAGGATCACAGGGCCTGCCTGGGATCTGAACCCGGGCTAACTGGTGCCAGGATCTTACCCCAGGCGTGGCACAGCCCTGGCAAGTGGGGAGCATGCCAGTGAATTAGTGAGCATTGGGTTGGGGGGGCAGTTCACTGGTGGGGAAAGAGGGCAGTGAGTCAGTAGAAAACAGATCCCCTCCCATCCTGCCCTGCCCCTTCCCCACCAACCCTCCCACATCCCGGTGGGGTGGTGTGGAGGGGGGTTGGTGAGGCAATCCCTGCCCACCGGCTTCCAGATGCTGCCTGAATCTTCCCACTGGGGTCCTGGGAAAGGGCTCTAAGGGCTCATTAACATCCTTTGTTAGTCAGGGAAGGCAGACCAATAATAATAGTGATGGTAGTGATGCTAGCAGCCACTTACTGAGCACTTACGGTGCGCTGTGCCCTATATTCTTTGTGTCAATTCTTGCATTTGGTTTTCATGACCCCCTGGCTAACGAAGCCTGCTTAACTCAGGGAGGTTAGCTCAGTCCACACCACCACCGCCGCCAACAACAACAACTACCACTGGCTCTTATGGGCGTCGAACCCTGTTCTTTTTTTTTTTTTTAAGATTTTATTTATTTATTCATGAGAGACACAGAGAGGCAGAGACATAGGCAGAGGGAGAAGCAGGCTCCCTGCGGGGAGCCCAGGATCCCGGGATCACGACCTTAGCTGAAGGCAGACGCTCAACCCCTGAGCCATCCAGGTGCCCCCCATCAAGCCCTGTTCTAAAATCTTTGTAAGGACTTCGTCCCTCAGCGAATCCCAGCTGCCTCCTGTTAATGCCAGCTAGCCAAGGGATGCTACCCCAGTTCTGATAACGGTACCCAACGCTTTTGGAGGATGGAGGCTTCCTGTGGGCCAGATACTGTGCTAAGCAGTTTTCCTGAAATAACTAATCTGTTCCTCCCACCTTCCCTGGTAGTGAGAGCCTTGCCTATCTCCTTATGCAGATGAGGACTGTGAGGCCAGGCGAGCGCTCCGAGGAACCTCGCCAGGAATGAGAATGAAGAAATGACCCTGTTTGGGGGGGGGGGGGAGGCGCGGAGAAGGGCAGTAAACCAGGAATTTGGAGAAGCCGGTTGTGAAAGTGCGGAGGGAGAGTGAATGAGGCCGGGGTTGAGTAAGTCAGCTCTTGGCCGCAGGGAGACGTGCGGGGAAGGGAAAGCCCTGCCGCGGTGCCTCTGCTTCTGATGCCAGCTCTGACTCCCAAGCTTGAGTCAGCACCGAGCTGGGCTGACTCTACACGTGAGGGGTTCTGTGCCTCTGGGTTGTGGTGCAGGTTTTGAAACCAGTGGGGTCTCCGGGCGGGGTATTGGGGTGTGTGGCCACCTGGGGAGCTGGATGGCTTGTGGGGTCCGTGGAGGTGGGGCGCCGGCTGGGTGTGCCACCTGCCCGGGGTCCCCGGTGGCCTCAGGATGAGGGGAAGCCAAGATTCAAACCTAGGGCTCGGGATCCCTGAGTGGCGCAGCCGTTTAGCGCCTGCCTTTGGCCCAGGGCGCGATCCTGGAGACCCGGGATCGAATCCCACGTCGGGCTCCCGGTGCATGGAGCCTGCTTCTCCCTCTGCCTGTGTCTCTGCCTCTCTCTCTCTCTCTCTCTGTAACTATCATAAAACAAATAAAAAAAATTTTTAAATAAAAATAAAAAAACAAACAAACAAACCTAGGGCTCTCCCGGGCATCCTAGGGTGCAGAGCTCCTTGCCTACACACGTGTGCACGTGTGACCACACGCATGTGCACGCAGTTGTGTTCCAGCCCGGGGCCAGAGAAAACAAGAAGGGTTTGTGCAATGGCGGGGGCGGGGGCGGGGGGGGGGGCTCGAAACCTCGGGACGGGGAAGGGCAGTGCGTGTGCACTAGCTCTCCGTGTCTCTGCCCCTGAGGTGTGTGTGTGTGTGTGTGTGTGCCTTTTGGTGGTGTGTGCCCCTCTGCGTGGTGTATGTGTGGACCCGGGGCATCTCGGTAGCCCTGTGTGTTTTGTGTGGTCTCTGAGAACCGTCTGTCTGCCTCTGCAGAGCGGGTGTAGGTGGCACATGTAATTGTGGCTGTGGTGCTCACCTCTGAGTCGCGTGTGTGTGTGTGTGTCTGTGTGTGTGTGTCCCCGCGTGCCTGAGCCTTGTGTCAAGCGCCGCCTCTGCGCTGCCACCCTGGAGTGCTATCTAGAGGATCCCCGTAGCCCCCGTCCCAACACCGTGCCTCTCAGGGGCCCCGTAATGACGCCAGCCATTTGGGAAATGAGGAAGGTGGGGGTGCGGAGAGAGGGTGAGGCCTGAAGGTCAATCGGTCACCCTGAGCCTGCGGGCTTCCTGTGCCTGTCGGGAACTGGGAACCGCCGCCGCCCCGGCATCCCCTCCGGGAAGGCCACCTCTGCCCTGTGGGGCAGCGGCTGGGCTGCCGAGGGGGCGGCCTGGCCCGGCGGTGCGGGGGCCAAGGTCGCCCAACCCGTCCCCCTTTCCCATCCAGGGGCGCGGGAGACTGGAGGCGTCCCCACACCTGAATGTGTGTGCGCGCGCGCGGGCGGGCGCCTCTCCGTTTGTATAGCCGGCAAGGCATGGTGTGTGTGTGTCTAGATATCCTTGTCATGTGCCCAGGGCCGCAGTGTGGGTCTCGGTGGTTCTGTGAATACCCAGAAGCATGTGTATCTCCGTAGGCGGTGTGGGTCCAGCTCCCTGTACGTGGGTTTCCCTGTACATGGTAATCCTCCATGTTGTGTGTGTCCCTCTGTTACGTGGGTTTGGGTGAGAGGAAAGGGTGTGGGTGTGTGTGTGCGCGCGCGCGCGCCCGTGCTGCTGGGCAATGAGGCTGGCCAGCAGCGCCGGCCCCTGCCCTACACGATGAGCAGCCGGCTGGCTGGATGACTGTGTGGGTCTCTGCAGCCAGAGAGCAAGGTGTGCTGTGAGCCTGTGTTGGTTGTGGGTCTTTCCATTTCGTGGGTCTCAACGTGTGTGGGAGTCTCTGTGCTTGGGTGTGATGGTCTGAATTCTGAGGGAGGGCTTGTGTACAGGTCTCCAGGTTGTGTCTGTGCATGCTCACATACGGGGCCTGGCTGAGGGGTCTGGTTACTACGTGCTCACCACCACACCCCGTGCATGCACACACACACTCACTTCTCTATCATCCGTCCACTGTAAAAACAAACTTTCCCCTTTCCGGAAAAGTCCCCCACCCCTATCCCATGGCTCTGCCCGGGAAAGCAGAGGCGGGATGTCTGGAACTTGGGGGGAGCGGAGGGAGGGACAGGCAGGCAGGGCTCCGAGTTCGATTCTGAGCTCCGGAGGAGGCTGTGTGGCCCCCCGCTGCTGTGTGTCTCTGACTCGCCTCTTCTGGGAAGTGGCTCCTCACATGGCTCTCCCTGAATGGGCTTCCCTTGGCGCCACCCCCACCCCTGGCCATCGCCCTCCTGGCCCTCCCGCCCTGACCCTGCTCTGCCTTCCCCCTCCCCCAACCAGCTCAGCAGCACAACGTACCCTGTGGTGGTGAAGATGGGGCATGCGCACTCCGGGATGGGCAAGGTGAGTCTCCAGATGGGGTGTGTTTGTGTGTGTGTGTTTGTAAATGGTGCATGCTCCTGGCATCGTGCATATGTATGTCCACATATATTGCGTATTCGATGCTCACTAGTCATTCTGTATGACTGTGTGACCTGGGGCGTCTTTATCGATTTATTTTTCCCCTCACATTCTTAGATTCTGTTGGCCCGATTGTCTGTCATGCATTCAACCAATTTTGTGTGTCCTGTTATTTTGTTCATGTATCCAGCACTGTGTCTGTGTATATGCATGCCTCTGTGTTGAACACACACTGTGTAAGCTTTTATGTTCAAGGGTCCTGGGGTCCTGTGTGCTCCCCACCCACCTGATTTTGGCTCTGTGTATGTAGGAAGCCGACTCGGAATTTGTACATTTGTGTCTATTCTTCTGTATGCTCTCATAGTGTGGATACAACTGACTTTGTGTCTGGGTGCTCGTATGCATAGACTATACATATGGACACACAATTTTTCCACAGCTTTACTGAGATATAATTCACCCACCATACTGCTTACCCATTTAAAGCGGACAAGTCTGCTGTTTCTTAGTATGTTCAAGGTTGCATATACCCCTCTGTGTCTGTGGTGTGTGTGTGAAGACCCGGAGACCCAGGATTATGCAGGCTTGGGTCCTAGGCGTATCCACACAACTGTTGTGTACTCAGCCCAGCCGTGTCATCTGTGTGCATGCCCCCGCCAAAGGCACTCCCACTGCCCTCACAGCTGCCCTGTCCTCATCTGGCCCTGACGACTCCTACCCCACTCCTACAGGTCAAAGTGGACAACCAGCATGACTTCCAGGACATCGCGAGTGTCGTGGCACTGACCAAGACATATGCCACTGCCGAACCCTTCATTGATGCCAAATACGACGTGCGCGTCCAGAAGATTGGGCAGAACTACAAAGCCTACATGTGAGTGCAAGAGACCAAGGCCTGGGTCGGGGTCCCCCGCCTCACGTGGCCTGGGCTCCCCCGAGCTTCTGTCATCTCTCCTCTTCGCCCCCAGGAGGACGTCAGTGTCCGGAAACTGGAAGACCAACACCGGCTCTGCAATGCTCGAGCAGATTGCCATGTCGGACAGGTGGCGGTGGCCCAGGCCCTGAGGGAGGGGAAGAAGGGGGGTGGGGATGTGTGGCCACCCCAGCAAGGCACTGACAGGCTGCCTTGCCCCATGTCTCGGCAGGTACAAGCTGTGGGTGGATACATGCTCAGAGATTTTCGGGGGACTGGACATCTGCGCAGTGGAAGCACTGCACGGCAAGGATGGAAGGGATCACATCATTGAGGTGGGAGCACCCAGAAAGCGGCAGGGGTACAGAGGGAGGAGCAGGCGCGTGGCAGCAACACTCCACAAACTGTGAGGCTCTCCATGGCCCAGAAGGTTGCTTTACTAATGCCCTCAATAAACTGTAAAGTACCTTATAAAATAGGAAGTGCTGGGTGAACAGCAAAGTATAAACAGCTTTATAAAACTATAAAAAAAAAAAGTTCTGTAAATCAGGAGGCCGCTGTTATCAAAGCAAACCACTTTCAAAGTTCTAAAGTTCTTTGTAGACAGTGGTGCCCCTGGGAAATAGTAAAGCAATTTATAAACTGTAAAGTACCTTGAAAATACAGAGTGCTTGGTGAATGGTCATGCTTTATACATGGTAAGGCATTTTGTAAACATTGGTGCCCGGGCAAAGCATTTTCTAAAGTCCAAACCTGCCATATATCCCCTGGTCCCTTGAAAAAGACAGGAGCTTTGTAAACTATAAGCCACGAAGTTCTTTGTAAATGGCAGCATACCTAGCAAACTATAAAGCAGGGATTGGCAGATGTTTCCTGTCAAGGGCCAGACAGTGCACATTTTAGGCTTTGTGGGCCATATAGTCTCTGTTGCAGCTGCTCTGCAAAAGCAGCCAAAGACAATATGTCATTATATATAAAAAAAAAAGGCATGGCTGTGTTACCCTAAAACTGTACAGACAACAGAAATTTAAATTTCATATATTTTCACATGGCATGAAATCTTCTTTTGGTTTTTTTCCCCAACAATTAAAAAAAATGTAAAGCCCATCCCTTAGCTCGGGGGCCATCCAAAAACAGGTGTTGGGCCAGATTTGGCCCTTGGGCCCTAATTCCTCAAACTGTTCTCAGCTGTAGACCCCCCACCCCACCACGAGCCATAGGGGCCTCAGAAACGACAAGCCTTCCTCATACTGCCAAAACTGGTGCTTCTTATTTCCTTGGCAGCAGCCATGCAATTCCCCAACTTAAGGCACTTTGTCACTGTCACCCTTGCAGGCACTTCCCACCTCTGTCCTCACTGGGTCCCTTTCTCCCCACCCCCTTCAGGTGGTGGGCTCCTCCATGCCACTCATCGGGGACCACCAAGACGAAGACAAGCAGCTCATCGTGGAGCTTGTGGTTAACAAGATGGCCCAGGCCCTGCCCAGGCAGCAGCAGCGGGATGCCTCCCCCGGCAGGGGCTCCCACAGCCAGGTCAGGCCCCTGGTGCTGGGTGAGGGCCAAGATACCCCAGGAGGCTGGTGGCGGCAGCCAGGCCCCTGGTCCGCTGCCGGAGCTGATCAGCAGCAGGCTAAGGGCACTGCCTTACGCACGTGTGGCCGCAGTCACCAATTGTTTTAAAAACTGCTAAGAGAGCCACTATGCTGACTTCCCTGAGTGCCCCCCAGCCCTCCCCTGGGAGCCAGTCCTCCACCCCACAGCCTGACATCGCCTCAGTTCTCAGCCACAGAGGTGGCAACACCCAGCACATGGGGAGCCCATGTCATTTGGATTGGCTGGTCCTCCAGCCGCCAGCTGCTAACTATTTTTAACCTCTCCTGCTCCGCTCCTCTGCCGCAGACTCCGTCCCCAGGGGCCCTGCCCTTGGGCCGCCAGACCTCCCAGCAGCCCTCGGGGCCTCCTGCTCAGCAACGACCCCCACCACAGGGTAAGTGAGGGGCCAGCTTCCCAGGCCTCTAACTGTACTGGCACCTAGCACCCCCCCCCAACCACCTCTCACGTGTATGCTCTTTCTGTCCCTCAGGTGGCCCTCCACAGCCAGGCCCAGGCCCCCAACGCCAGGGACCCCCGTTGCAGCAGCGCCCGCCCCCACAGGGCCAGCAGCACCTTTCGGGCCTTGGACCCCCAGCTGGCAGTCCCCTGCCCCAGCGCCTACCAAGTCCCACATCAGCGCCTCAGCAGCCTGTGTCCCAGGCCCAGCCACTGAGCCAGGCTCAAGGCCGCCAATCCCGGCCGGTGGCAGGAGGACCCGGGGCACCTCCAGCAGCCCGCCCACCTGCCTCCCCATCTCCCCAGCGCCAGGCAGGCCCCCCGCAGGCTACTCGTCAGACATCCGTCTCTGGTCAGGCTCCGCCGAAGGCCTCCGGAGCCCCACCGAGTGGTCAGCAGCGCCAGGGCCCACCCCAGAAACCCCCAGGCCCTGCCGGCCCCACACGCCAGGCCAGCCAGGCGGGTCCCATGCCCCGTACTGGGCCACCCACCACGCAGCAGCCACGGCCCAGCGGCCCAGGCCCTGTCGGACGACCCGCCAAGCCACAGCTGGCCCAGAAACCCAGCCAGGATGTGCCGTCACCTGCCACTGCCGGGGGACCCCCGCACCCCCAGCTCAAGTAAGAGGACCCCACGGCAGCCCTGGCCTTGCTGCTCACAAAATAGGCTCCTACACCAGGAGAGTGGCCCCAGCTCCCAGTCTCCTCGGACCCAGGTCCCACGCAGGAGTCCCAAGAGCTTGATCTTCAGTCTGGGCAGACCCCTCCTCCAAGCTGTCTCCCCCACCCCCCACTGCCCCAATTCACAGAGGCTCCTGCCCTCCATCCAAGATTTGTGCTAGAATCCCAGAGAAACCTTTATAGTTCAGAATCCTCCCAGTAGGCCCCTGGGAAAGCCCCCTCCCACACCCCTCTTGGTCGCACCTTGCTGACCCTCCATGAGCACCTCCCTGCCGCTCTGGAACCTTCCCAGCAAAACGCACCCTTCTCCTGCCCAAATGGACTCCTCCCGGCCCAATTCACAGTCCTCCTGTCCCTTCACACTCTTCCCAGCTGTCCTCATGCTTTCCTTTACAGCCTAGGCTCCATTCTGGGCCACCCCAGTCTCCTCCCAAACCATTACACCGTCCCCTCTACCTCTTCTGGTCCACTCCAGGCCTCCCCCTACCTTAGCTCAAAAGTCCTCCCTGCCATATCCAACTGCTTCCTCTTGGACTTGCCCCCCACCGCACGCCATCTTGTCCTGGGCTCTGTCCTAGGTACAGACCCTACCGTGCTCCCTCTGGGACTCCTCACCCACACTGGAAAGCTCCCTGCCCATCTTCACCTGCACATCCGACTCCTCCTAGTCTAGCCTAGAATGTGAAGAGAGAGGTTCTGCCCAGGACTCTTCCCACTAAGGCCAGGCTTCATCCAAGTCCTCCCAGCCTGGCCCAGGGCTCCCCCACTCCACCTGAGAATACATTAGGGTCCACACCTGTGATGGTGGGTGGGAGGGTCACAGGCACAGCCCCAGGACTAGTGGGGCAGGGCTGGGCCGGGCCTGGGGTAACATTGTGTTTCTCTCCCCTTCCTCCCTTCCTCCCCTCCCCTTCCTCCCATGCCTCCACCTTGTCTCTCTCTAGCAAATCCCAGTCTCTGACCAATGCCTTCAACCTTCCAGAGCCAGCCCCGCCCAGGCCCAGCCTTAGCCAGGACGAGGTGAAAGCTGAGACCATCCGCAGCCTGAGGAAGTCTTTCGCCAGCCTCTTCTCCGACTGACACCCTACCCCGAGAACCCTTAATTCCTCCTGGGCAACCCCTCTCTGGGCCCTGAATCCATTTCTCACTTTTTGAGTCTCCAAATCCCTTGAGAAGCCCTCTCCTGGTCCACCAAGATCCCTCTTCTCATTCTGCAGAATGCCCAAGTCCCTGGGGAGACCTCACTTCTGGTCCTAAATCCAATTCTCACTTTTGGAATTCCTGAGTCCTTTTAAAAGCCCACTCCTGGCGACCTCAAAACTTTTCAGTTTTAGAACTTCCAAATCCCTAAAGACCTCTCTCTATTCCTGGCTCCCCTCCACTTCGAGAATGCACTTTCCTCCCCAGAAGCTCCCTAACACCAGGGAACGTGTTCTGGCCCTAACACTGCTGAGTCCCCTCCTAGAGCCCTGAAATTCTTGGAAAACCATACTCCTGGTCCCAGATCTCTCAAGTTCGTCTTGTTCCCCATCAGAATTTCCGAAATCCTTAAGAAACCCCGGCCTTGGCACCCCTTTCCATGGATCACTCATCTCTAGAGATCCACCTCTTCAGATGCCACTATCCAGCCCAAGGATTTCTCCTAACCGGCCCCAATCCCATTCAACACATTGGGAGGCCCTCCTAGGACTAGGACTCTTCTGTTCCCCAGGGACCCACATTCCCACTTTCCTGCCTCTGACAGCTATCTTTAAATATGCAAACTCCACCCATCCTCCCAGACTCCTTTGCACATGGAGGGCCAGGGGTCCTCTACTTCCCCACCTTTGCCGTGATGTCTGTGTCTGTGACTGACGTGGCCTCCTCTCGTGCCGTGCTTGGCATATGTGGTCTTCGTTCATCGTGCCGCCTGTGGTGATGCGTGCAGTGGCGCTGTTTGTGTGGTCCGCATTCCCCCCCCCCCCACCACTCCTTGCCTGGACTCACTCCCACCCTTCAGCGGCTCTGAACCCCATGAGAAGAGTCGGGAAGCAAAATAAACAAGCAAAGGCCCAGCAGAATTCTGTACTTCTTGGTGAAGAGGGGAGTCCTTGAATGGTAGGGAAGACACAGAGGGGACCCCCCCAAATCCACACGGGGTGCTGGGGACCCCAAGATCCAGTGGAAGGCACATCAGGCACAAATTCCAGAGAGATTCTGAGTGGAATCCCTGCCACAAAGCCCAGCTTGGAGATAGAGGAGCTCCCAGATTTAGAAGTTATCCCCAAAGCCAAGAGGAAACCAAATTATGGAGGAATCAGGGGTCTCGGTCTTTGAGGGCCCCCTGCTTCCAGAGGAACTGGAAAAGCACATGGGGACACCTCCATCTCCCAGGATGGGTATGGGGGATCCTGAGGCAGTATCAGGGCAGAGACAGAACATTGATTGGTGGGCAGGGCTCCTTGGCATGGCAGGCTGAGACTGGTTCCCTGGTGACTGGGGGCAGGGCCTAAGGCACAAGGCGGGCTGCGCTGAGTAGGCAGGCGGGCAACTCATCAGCCTGGGTGCGGTGCAAGGAGGGTTCGGAGGCACTCCGCTCAATCTTGGGGAGTGACCGCTGCAACAGCTCAATCGCGGCCAGGATCTAGGGGCAGGGGTAGGTTAGGAGGGGTGTCCAGAGCCACACGGGCACCCCAACACCCACATACCCCAGCCTAACAGGGAAGTGTGCCTGCACATACACATCGTACACTGCTGAGCCTTGAACATGTACAATTCCCACTGACACCTGGGAGTCTTCCTCCTCCTCAGACTCACCCTCCCCGGTGTGCCCAGCCCGCCAACCTGGCTCACCTGGGGGAAGAGGGGACGTTCCTCCCGCTGGAACTTGAGGCAGTCAGACAGCAGGCGCCGCATGGCCTTGGGGCAGTTGCTGGAGATTTTGCTGAGGTCCGGGGACAGATAACCACGGCCCACCATAAAGATAATCTGGAGGGGCAGGAATGGGGTGATCTGGGGGCCTGGGCTGGGAGGCTGAGGGAATTCTGGGTCTCAAGGGGCTTTGGAGGCTCCTTCTTGGGGAAACTAGGGTACTCTGGGTATTGGGGTTTGGAAGATCATGAGGAACTTGTGGATCCAAGGACTCTGGGTTTCTAAGGACAAGGATGCTCTACTTGCAGAACAGAGGGATTTAAGTTTGGGAGCAGTAAAGAATTATAGGTATCCCTGCCCTCACAGGTTTCAAGGGGACTTATCAGTCTAGAAAGTACCAAAGTCAGGGGAAATAAGAAATTCTGGGTCCAGAAAGAGCTCAAGGAGTCTAAACCTCCAGAGCCTGTATTTCTGTAGCAGTTGGGGGCCTAGAGAACTATGGGTTCCATGTGGTCTGTAGGACTATGAGTGCTCGGTGCTTGGAGCCTAGTGTCCCAGGTTTCTGAGGGCCTACAAGAGTCCATGCCTTAAACGTGGAGAACTCTGAGAGTCTGGGACCTAGAGTATCATGGGTTCCTGGGCCCCCAAAGCCTGCCAGATGCCCATGGCCTGAATAACTGTTGGTATCTGTGAGTATTCCAGAAGCACAAATGACTTGTGTTACTGGGAGAAATGGGATTCTGGCCTTTGGGACTTGGGGGATTTTGAGTACCCAGGCCAGAGGACTGTAGGTACCTACAGGTTCCAGGGGACTTCTGGGTGTTTGGGGGCCATGGTGGATTCCAGGTATAGAGGATTCAGAAGATTCTGGACTTCAAGGACCCAGAAGATTGGAGATGTGTAGGGAAGGAGGGGATTCTAGGTAGGGAAGACCAGAGGATTCTGGGAGTCCTCAGCCCTGAAGACTTTGGGTTTCTGAGGGAAGTGTGGCATTCTTGGTCTTTACAAAGGAGGAAGTCTGGGGTTTGGAGGCTGAAGGGATTCCTTTGCCTAGGAGATTGCGGGTAAGGTGGGGGCTCACCTGGTCACGGCTGCCAATGTGGCTGTAAGGCAGTGAGCCGGTCATGAGCTCATAGAGCACAACCCCATAGGCGTAGACATCCGATTGGAAGCTGTAGGGGTTCGGGTCCTGCATACGGATCACCTCAGCTGCCTTCAATAGGGCACACCAGACCAGGCAAGAGGACCATGGAGGTCAGCCAATGGCTGGCCCTAGTCCCAGATCCCACCAGCCACACTGGGTACAACTCAGAGCATCCACATGAGATAAAACATGAGCAGTCTAGACACCTACATCTGGCATGAGCTACCCCATCCTCACTTGGCTCCCCACATCCCAGCCCAGCAACCCACACTATCTATATGGCCCCAGGCCAGCCCAACTCACCATCCACAGTACAGAGCCTGAGGGCTGCTCCAAGGGCTGGGCCCCACTCCACCGCGTCTTCACCGTGGCCAGGCCAAAATCACCAATCTTCACTGTGAGCCCCTCATGTAGGAAGATGTCCACCAGGGTCAAGGGCCACTACAGGAGCTCCAATAACCCCATCTCCCATCCTGACTGAGAGGTTCCCATTGATGCCCCCATACCAGTCGTGCCTCAGACCCTGAGCAGAAGCCCCCCAGTATCACACAAACTAGCTACAATCTTGACTTGGGTAGGGACTCACTTGACAATGCCCCTCCCCATGCATCCCCAGAAGGCCCTCACCGCCCCCCCCCCCAAGCCCTTAGACAGTGACAGGCAGATACTGTTAGACTTGAGATCTCGGTGGATGATGTTCTTGGCATGGAGGTAGCTGTGGGGGTGAAAGCAAAGGGCAAATTGGCTGGGGGTTACCTCCTTTCCCCACCCCCTCCCTTTGTTCCTAGGCTGGGAGGCTCACTCCATGCCCTGGGCAGTCTGTCGGGCCACATCAATGAGCTGGACCATGTCGAAGCGTGTGTCGGCCACATGCAGGTGGTGGTAGAGGCTGGAGCCCTCACACCACTGTGTGATGATGGCAAATCCTGGCCGGGTCATGAAACCCATGAACAGCAAGATGTTGACATGACGTGTCTTCCTGTAGGCATGGAGGGTGGTACCAGGGCAGGAAAGAAAAGGAACAACCATCACTTTCTGAGCATTAGGAATGGTACTGTTCACTGCTACCTTCTGTCATCATTTCCACCTTGTCTTTTAGGAGGCTCAGGGCCAGACTATGGCCCTGAGACATAGTTCAATGCATCTGTGAAATATGTTTGATGGGCTGTGATTCTGTCCCGGGGCTCCTGTCCCGAGCTTCTTCATCCAAGTCTCCCATCAAAAGCAGGAGGGAAAGACTACTGCCCCCCACCCCTCTACCAACCAGTGGCTCTCTCCATCATCGACCCCTGCCAACCTCTGACCTTGACCATGACCTGGGCCTGTGACCATTTTACAGACAAGAAAGTGGAATGCCAACCTTCCTCACTGATACAGAATACCAACAGACGCCAGTAAAAACACCAGTGACATGTGACTGTATCCTTGTTAATCACTGCAAGAGCCTTGTGGAGTTAGGACTCAGATCTGATCCTGTGTTCCAATCCAGGCTTCCCCAGGTACTCACTGTGCAACCTCAGAGAGGTCACTTAACCTCTCTGGGCCTCATGTTCCTCAACTTCAAAACCATGATAATGATATTAGCTACCTTATGGGGATGTTGGGAAGAACAGTTAGTAAGTAATCTGTAAGGTGCTTAGAACAGTACCTAACACAGGTAAGCACCCTGAAAATGTCACTGTCCTTGTTATTGCTGCTGGATACCTGAGTCTAGGTGACAGAAATGCTGTCACGGATGAACAGATCACCTCTGGTTTAGAAGAGAACCCTCCCTCCTTGGAGAAGTACTAACTGCAGTTATAATGATAACGCAAATGCAAACAACACTAACAATGCTCTGCAATTTTGCTCATGTCAGAGTGGATAACAGAGGACATGCACATTCTTCATGGTGGTCAGATTACAGCTAAAATATTAATACATAATACAATACAAACTAAGAGCGTGCTCAAATAATTTCACAGAGAGGAACAGAATAAAAGTGTTCTTACTGCGGCATCCATAATGAGGATAGATATTAAAATAGCACAAGAAATTACGGTAACATCAACTCTGTAATGTAACTGTGCCCATTTGTCAGAGGGAAAGTCCATGTCCGCAACCCCAGGTGTGGCAGTAACTAGAGTGGCAGAAAAGGCACACCAGGGTTTCTCAGTGCAAATTAACTAATATATACTAATGATATATTAAATAGAGCAACTACAATCATTAATCACACAATGACTACATTAAGTAACACTGCTCTTTAAATTATGGCACTGCTGTAACTAATAACAGGAATCCAACACGATAAACCTAATACTAATGATGCAATATGAGCAGAGGAGAAGGCAGGACACGAGCCTTCCTGGCAATGAGGTTTACATCATGCGATTAATATTAAATGCACACAGTAAGACTGTTGTCCTTGGGCCATACCCATTTCGCAGCAGGCAAATGAGAAAACCCACGTTTTGGAGGCGGAGACATTAACTGATACTAATATCAACCCAAACACAAACACAAACAATATCATCAGAGGGCCTCACCACATACCCATTTCCCAGAGAGGAAAGGAATATCCCTGATTGAGAAACGGCTTACAGTGATGGTTCTAACACAACACAGGCACAGGTGACGTGCGGGAAGTGCCCAGAGCATCGCCTTGCCTGGCCCCCATCCCCCACTCACCCCCACCCACGCATGCGCACCCAAGCCATCTCACCTGAGCACCTGCATCTCATTCTTGAAGGCCTGGGCCTGCTCAGCTGTGGGCTGGGCCACCTTGAGCACCTTCACAGCCACATCGCCATGCCACCGCCCGCGAAACACAGTGCCAAACGAGCCCGTCCCAATCCTCTTCAGCAGCTGCACCTCACTGGGTGGCACCTCCCAGTAATAGCCGGAGTCCCGGTACCCCAGATTCTTCTGTGGGCCACATGGGCAGCATCTCAGGAGCCTGCCCACTTCCCTCATCACTCAGCCTGGGGCACCCCCACCCAAGGCTCCCCCGGAGCTTACCACTTTCTTCTTGTCATCAGCCACGGACTTCCGCTCCCGCTGCTCTGACGGGGACTTGGAATGTGGGGACTTCCTCCCCGAGGACACGCTGGCCGGGCTGGGGCTCCCCCGAGGGGCTCCGTCACCACCACCTCTACTACCAGCAGCTGCAATGGTGGAGGGGATGTGAGTGGAGGCAAGCGGGGCGGGGTGAGGGGGCATGGGGCATGGCCGGGGGGCGGTGGGCTCACCATCGGTGCTAAAACTCTGGGCAGTGAGCTGGAAGAAGAGGGACAGGAGTCAGAGAGAGGACACGGGAGCCAAGAGGCATGGTCTCCCCTCTGCCCGGTGCCTTCTCTGACCGACCCCCTCCACACCGACCTGGATGAGGCTGGAGTCCATGGGGGCTGTGGTGCTGACCATATGGACGTTGGGAGTGGATGTGGAGCGGATGCGCTGGAGTGGGGTGTTGGCAGGGGCAGGGAAGGGAAAGTGCTCAGGGTCGCGGTGCTGGGTGCAGGAGCTGGCAGAGGAAAGGCTGTGAGATCACTGTCGAACAAACAAGAGAACAAGTAAAGCCGCCCCCCACCCCAGTAAATGTACATGTAGCTCACAGTAACTATCTACTGTCATTGCTGTTATTCATCTCCTCAAGAAACACTTACTGAGTGCCTGCCCTGTGGCAGAGACCACCCAAGGTCGTGGAAATAAAACTGTGGGCAAAATGAATAAAAGTTCCTGCCCTTGTGGGGCTGATGTTCCAGTTAAGAGAGCGCCATAAAAAAACAAACATTTAACATGTCCCTTGGTGACAGGTGTGATAAAGAAACAGAGCAACATGGAGACAAAAAGTGTCCTGGGCAAGGTGTAGAAAGGCTTCTCTGAGGGGACATTGGGGTGAAGACCCAAAGGAGGTCTTCACTGAGCCTGAGTGGCTCAGTTGGTTAAGCATCTGCCTTCAGCTCAGATCATGGCCCCAGGATCCTGGGATTGAGTCCCACTTGGGCTCACTGCTCTGCAGGGAGTCTACTTCTCCCTCTGCCCCTCCCTCCCTCGTGTTCAACTCTCTCACATGCGTGCTCTAATAAATAAAATCTTTAATAATCAATTAATTTTTAAAAAGACCTAAAGGAAGAACAGCAAGCTATATAGCGGGGGGGGGGGAAGTAATATATAACTACATATGCTATTAAAATATATTGTTATATAACATACATGTTATCTGTATTAAAACACCAATGGCTCCAAATATGCATATTATAACATTATACACTTAATCCTTGAACGATGCAGGGATTAGGGGCACCACCAATCCCCTGCCCAGCTGAACAGCCGCGTGTAACTTCTGACTCCCCAAAAACTTAGCTACTAAGAGCCTACTGTTGATTAGAAGCCTTACTGATAACATAAACAGTCAATGAACTCATATTTTGTATGTTCTATGTATTATATACTGTATCCTTACAATAAAGTTAGAAAAAATAAATATTTTTAATAAAATCATAAGAGAAAATACATTTTGGGTGGCTCAGTCAGTCAAGTGTCTGCCTTCAGCTCAGGTCATGATCCTGGGGTCCTGAGATCAAGCCTTGCATCTGACTCCCTGCTTAGCAGAGAGTCTGCTTCTCCTGCCCCTGCCCCTCCTTGTGCACGCTCATGCACGCACTCTCTCTCTCTCAAATAAATAAAAATCTTTTAAAAAGAAGAAAATATAGTACTGCATGTAAAAAATCCATATGAGAGCGGACCCACGCAGTTCAAACCCATGTTGTTCAAGGGTCAACTATATATGTTATACATAGATGCACATGTTAAAATATAAATATATATATGCTATATATATTTATTGTAATGTCACAAATGTATTTTTTTTTAATTTATTTATGATAGTCACACACACACAGAGAGAGAGAGAGAGAGAGAGAGAGAGAGAGAGAGGCAGAGACACAGGCAGAGGGAGAAGCAGGCTCCATGCACCGGGAGCCCAACGTGGGATTCGATCCTGGGTCTCCAGGATCGCGCCCTGGGCCAAAGGCAGGCGCTAAACCGCTGCGCCACCCAGGGATCCCACAAATGTATTTTTAAATGTCCCTTTCACTATCTTGAAATTAAATTCATAAATAATTAATCCACATATACCCATAATTAAAAGTGACAATGCCCTAACTTTACTATTTTATATTACATAAAAATGTGTTTTACATTATATAAAAGTAATGTAAATAGAACACGATGTATTAACATTGTGTATTTTTTTTAAACTGTCACATGGGCAGGATTTTTTTTTAAGATTTTATTTATTCATGAGACACACACACAGAGAGAGAGAGAGGCAGAGAGAGAAGCAGGCCCATGAAGGGAGCCCGATGTGGGACTTAACCTCGGGGCTCCAGGATCATGCCCTGGGCCAAAGGCAGGCGCTCAACCGCTGAGCCACCTGGGTGTCCCTTAACATTGTGTATTATGTAAATACAGACATTCTATGATAGACAAATAAAATGCATATTTTATAATGCATTTATACTATCTTAGGACAATAATATACTTTAACATAGAAATACTACAGTATTATACTTAACATAAAGGAAACGTAAAAGGGAATTTATGATAATATGTATTTCAAAATGGAAAGGCTTGAGCATGGTTGTACTGTAAGAATTAATGAAATAGTTAGATACACACATATATATACATGTATTTGTAATTAATAAAGACTTCTTATTTTTTTCGTAAATCAGTTATTTAGTTTTTATTTTATTTTTTTTAAAGATTTTATTTACTTACTCATGAGAGACAAACACAGAGAGAGAAAGAGATTGAGAGAGAGAGATTGAGAGAGGCAGAGACACAGGCAGAGGGAGAAGCAGGCTCCATGCAGGGAGCCCAACGTGGGACTCGATCCCAGGACTCCAGGATCACGCCCTGGGCTGAAGGCGGCGCTAAACCGCTGAGCCACCCAGGCTTCCCAAGACTTCTTATTCTGTACCAGATCTTGTTCTAAGCACTGGATATGCCTTAACACATTTAAATTCTCATCAGAATCCTTTATGGTAAAAAGTATTATTATCCCCTCTTTGTAGATGAAAACACTAAGGCCCAGAGAGATTAGGTGACTTGCTGAAGGTCCCACAGCTCCATACCTGTAGGTGCTCAATAAACGTTTGTCAAATAAACAAATGAATGAAATATGGCTTGTGGTCTACAAGGGCTTCCAGATTTTTTTCTCCTGACAACAGGCCTTCAGCTAAGGCATCCCTACCTGGGACCCTGAGGGGTTAGCGGCTCATTCAGGGGGCGGTTTGAGGGAGCTTCATGCTGTCTGGAGCCTCCGGACAAATCTTGGACACTGTGGTAAAACCTTGAGGGCATTAAGGGTATACAGTAAGAGGACAAGGGTCAGCCGTCTGTAAGAACCTTGTAGCTTCTGTCCTCCCCATTCCCCCGCCCACCCCAGGCCAGGCTCACTGTCGGCAGTTGGTACTCATGTCAACACAGACTGTGGGGACCTTGGAGGAACAATGCTGGTGGAACTTGTAGCCACAGGTTTGGCAGCGGAAGCCATGGAACAGAAACTTAAGGCAGAAGTCGCAGAATGCCAGGCTGAAGAACGTCTTCCGTACCTGCTGCCACAGAGCAGGGAAGATTGAGGCCTGATCAAGGACAAACCCGCCCCAGGCTCACAGTCTGCCCTGACTATCCACCCCACACTCACAAAATTGTGCATGGTCAGTGGGACGTCTTCGAGGACCTCTACAATGAGCTCCTCTCCATCCAGGGGGGCAATGGCTGTGTCCCAAGCAGTGACTGTCTTTCGCCTGTAGGGGGCATGGAAAGGAGTTGGTGAGAGGGTGGACAGGGATGATGGGAGGCACGGAACCCCCAAGTCCCTCCACACCTATCATCCATGGAGTAATATCTGACATGTTTAATTTTCAGCATGGCAACTCTAGGAACTCATTACTATCCTTGATCCCATTTTACGGATGAGGAATCTGGGGCTCAGAGGGATACAGTGACTTGCCCAAGGCCACACAGGATTGGGAGTGCCTGGCCAGCATGAAGAGTCCATGCTCATAACCACGAGGTGAGGAGCAAATGAGACAGTGAATATATAATGAAATCTCAGAAGTGCTAAGCAAGCCCCTAAAAAAGTGGCTGATGTGGCACAGAGATGATGAATAAAGAAGCAACATGTGAGGTGATCAGAACAATTAAGGAAGCCCAGGACAGAATAAATGGAAGGCCAGCATAGCGCAGCTCGGCAGACCAAGAATGAGGAAACAGGGCGCAGAGAGTTGGCAAATGGATGACATCATGAAAGAACACAGACAAACTCTGGTACGAGATGTGGGAACAGGGTAAGGACCTGAGGGCCAAGGTGAGATAAGCTGCTGACCTCGAAGGCCAATGAGCTACTGAAGTTATGGAACAAAAGCTACATGCACCCATGGATTCACTGAACTCAAGGGAAAACTAATGGAAACCGCACCACAGAGGGAAGGAGTCAGATGCCTCTGAGGAGAGGATGGGAGGCTGAGCACCCAGGGGAGGGCAGTGAAGTGGGGGAGGGAGCACACTTACCCCTCAATGAGCCGGTAGACCACACAGCAATCCTGATTGAGACCCCGTACCTTGAGGGCCTTGTCAAGAGAGTCGTAGACACTCATGCCATCCCGGACAGTCACCTGTGTGTGCATGCACGTGTGAGGATGGCTGGGTCAGTGCCCAACACGGGCCCCAGCCGACTTTCCCAAGCCTCTGTAAAAAGCCTCCTCCCACCCCTAGTCCCCATTCAGATCCAAGACTTACAACTGGGTTCATGCCCATCCCCTGCCCATTTTGCCCCAGACTCACCACAGTGCGTTGCTTGTTGGGCAGGTATACTTTGACAGTGCCCACTGCCCGGGACGGCTCGGCCCCGTTGGCAGGGGAGCCCCGTGGTGGCTCCATGGAGCCTAGGACTTTGTCAAGACGGGCCGAGGCGGGGCTGAGCAGGTGCCATGGGGCTCCTAGAACACAGGAGGAATTCAGAGAGCCAGTAAAAATAGTCTGGAAGCAAAGTGGCAGGGACAAAAACAACCCCCTCAATCTCCAGGCTCCACATCACCCTGTTGCCTCATCTACACACAACAGCCAAGGGATCTTGCAGACACCTTGAACTCATCCAGCTCCCCTCTGCTCAGCCTCTCCTGTTGTTTGTCTCACTCTTAAGGGCCAAGGTCTAGGATTCACTGCAGAGGGTAGGGGTGGAGGAGGGGGTAGTAAGGACACAAGGAGAGGCAGCACACGCTGTCCTGGAAGGTCCAGGAGTACCAAGTCTCTGCTAGGGGCTAACAAGGAAGTCAAACCACGCTGCAATGGGGTGTGTCGGGTACATAAAGGGCATGAACAGGCTGTCCTGGCTTTTGAATGGAGTAAAGTGGTTACAAGATACCATGGTGAGGGAGGAGTCACAGACGGGAGGATGGGAAAGAAATGGAAGATCAGCAGATACTGCCCTTGGCTGGTGGGGGGGAATGGGAATTAGGACCAAGCAGTGCTTTTAAGGACCCTGCAGGAATCCCTAAGCCCTGGCTTGGCCTGTAACGATAGTAGGCTCTCAAACACTGTTAGGTGGCTAAGGACAGTCACCAGACTGTGATGGGGACTCCATAGGGCTTAGCAGGAACTGTGCTGAAGGCACTGTAATGGGGAGAAAAGTGGGTAACAGGAGATCACTAGACATTATCTTGGGGGAACGGAGGGTAATGCTGCATTACCAAACACTGTCGAGGTGAGATCAACAGGTTTTAAAGCGGGGGTGGAGGGGTCCAAGATCCCCCTAACTAATGAAAAGGGTCACAGACAGTTACTGGTGATAATAGAAGGAGGCTGGGGAGGAATAAAGAGGAGTCATGGGGGAATCCTCAAACATTCTCCTAGCGGATCAGACACTGATCCAGAAGGAGGAGGGCGATTGATTGAACCACGTCTCCACGCACTCCCCATTGCCCACAAGGAAGGGTCATCAAGAGACCTCAAGGAGGTGTAGGTTGAGTCCGGGCACCGCACCACAGCCCAGGTCCCATTCAGCCCGGCCCCGCCTACCGAGGGCCTGCCAACTCTGCGCAGTCGCACTGCCACACGCGACGGGCGAAACCATCCCCCGCAGCCTTGCACCCCTATTCCTGTCTACCCCCCCACCCCCGCTGTCGACGATGGTCTCGCCCCGGGTCAAGCCATTTCTGCGGTTCCGGGCGGGGGGCGCCGGGGCCCAAGCGAAGCCATCCTGGAGCTAAGCTTTCGGTCCCGGCTCCCAGCCCGCGCCCGACGGTCGCTCCAGAAACCTAACCCCCGGGGCCCGCCCTCACCTGTCACGCCGCTACGGCCACCGCCGCCTCCATCTTGGGCCTGTCTTCTTGTTTCCTCGCAGAGTCCGCCTCCGCCGCCCCTCGGACTTTCACCATTGGCTCCGCCGGATTCAGCCCTCCGTCCTTATTGGTTAGGGTCACGCCTGTCAAAGGAGGACCGGCGGAATGTGGGTCGTGTTCCGGATCAGGACAGGCTGCCCGAAACGTCAGGCTCTGAGGCAAATTCGCACGTCCGGACTCGCGCAGGCGCAGTCGGGTGGAAACCTGCGCGCTGTGGACTTTAACCCCCGTCGTGCCGTGGTGGAAGAAAGCGCATTTTTTTTCAGTCACTGGGAGCTGACTTTCGGGGTTCCTGAATCTGGATGGGGAATCCTTAAGTGCCCTTTTCTGGCCAGTGACCCGAAGGCCTAGGTACCCATTAGGGATTTTCCCGTGTCTCGGTTTTACCGTATTTGAAATGACTTGGAATCAGACCACATAACTGCAACGTTTTCCAGTTCTAAGAAACTTGTAGTCATAGCTTTTGATAACAGCTGGTCTCTGGTGGGGCTGGGGCTGGAGTGTCCGTCTGGCTCCAGGAGTGTCCGGCCTGCTGTTCTGGGCAGCTTACTGTAGGAATGGGGCTGGTAAGGATTTTGAGCGATTAGTCCTAGATGATCAGGTGAACAGGCGAGGGAAGGGTGGCCCTGGAAGGGGGCACAGAGCAGGGAAACGTGTGAAGGTCCTGTAGCGTAAAAACAAATTTTTCAGAAGTTGAATTTCCCCCGATGTCAAAAGTGAACGAGGCTTTCCACCCTCCCTTTTCTTAGGGCATTTTCCTTTAGAAAACTTGTAAAATGTATTCTCTGTCCCTTCCAGATGGATATAAATCTTGTAAAAAGCTAAATAGGCCTCCTGCCAGTGTTACTACATTGGAATGTTGTTCTTCAGTGCCTTGGGAGTCATCTCTTTGAAATGTAAACATAAAGGAGTCTAGCTCCCTTATCTCCTTGTCTCCGTAGGAATTTGACCTAGGCTCCGGGCTCCAATTTGTTAACCTGCTTGTCAAAGAGATCAGTGTTTTATTTTTCCTTTGGGTAAAGGCAGGTGGCTACCCCCAATCTCCAGGTTAATTTGAGATGAACTACTTTTGGCAAAAGGTGCTGCCAGGTTCTCTGACTTGAGGACGAGTTATTGTTCTTGAGAACATGTATGTAACAGGTCATATCTGCCTGGCTATATAAAAAGGTGAGGTTTCCTTTTGTCTTTGAAAGTTATTCACCGCATTGCTTGAGTTGCGCATTGCAGTTTTTTTTTTAAAGATTTATGTATTTATTCATGAGAGAGAGAGAGAGAGAGACACGGAGACATAGGCAGAGGGAGAAGCAGGCTCCCCGCAGGGAGCTTGATGCGGGACTCGATCCCAGGATCCCGGGATCACTACCTGAGCCAAAGGCAGATGCTCAACCGCTGAGCCACCCAGGCATCCCATGCAGTTTGGTTTAATGTTTATTCGATAATAAAACTATTTCATTCTTTTCTACTTTTGTGGAGAGGATTCACGGGTTGGCACATGGTGAAATGGGAAAGACAGAGAAAATTTCCTAGGTGCGGGGACGCCAACATGCTTCAACATTTATTTATTGTTTCTTTGCCTATAAAGAGAGAGACAAAAGTTTGGCTTACTGGGATGTCATATAACCTCCATTTCCCATCACCCCCTTTCCATTCAGATTTTCACCATTCAGTGGTAAAAATTTAAAAGACTGACAACAAATACCACATATTTTGGAGCCTGACGCTCCAAATACCAGTGGAGCAACTGGAACATTCATGCATTGCTATTGGGCATGTAAAATGGTGAACCACTTTGGAAACAGATTGGAAGCTTCCTATGAAGGTAAACATAGATATACCATGTAATCCAACAATCTAACTCCTAGGTATTTACTCCAAAGAAATAAGAACATATGTCCAGTAATGTGCTGGTAAATGTTTAACAACTGGCTATCCAGGACAAAACAAAACAAAAACACTTCTTATCTGTAGCATTTGCCAACTATGGTATAAACACTCCCACCATGACTTATTCAAACTACTAGTATAACATCATGGAACCACAGTTGAGACGAGATTTGCCAAGTCAGCTCTACTGAGCTGTCCACAGCATGCTATTGCAATATGTCCACACAAAAACTTGCACTCAGATGTTCATATTAGCTTTATCCATAATAACAAAAAAAAAAAAACCAGAAACAGCCCAGGTGTCCAATAACAGAAGAATTGACAAGAAACACAACAACGGGATCGTGGAATAATACTCAGCAATGAAAGGGAACAATCTCATAGGGTTGGTGAATGAGTCCAGATTCAAAGGAGAACTACTGTATTATTTCATTTGTAAGAAATTCTAAGTCAGGCAAAACTAATCCATAATGAGGGATTTCAGACTAGTTGTTGTCTTGGGGGAGAATAACCAGGAAGGGCATAAAGAAACTTTTGGAGGTGACTGGACTGTTCAGTAATGCATCTGTCAAACCTCATTGAACTCTGTACTGAAACTGGGGACATTTTATTGTATGTAAAACATCCCTCATAAAAACCGCTTGGAAAAAAAAAAGCTTCAAACATAATTCCAAACATCTTGATTTCTTACAAATTCTTATTGGTTAGAGAAAAAAATTTAGAGAAAAAATTTTTTTTAAATTCTGTTTTCTGAAATTGAATTCCTGGACCCCAAATCTCAGTGCAAGAGCCCTGGCAGCCACCTAAGTGCCACATGGGGTCAGGAATAACTGTTGGAGCTCAGTGAACCGCCCCCAAATACTCCAACTAAGAATAATTTCCAGTGTTGGGGGGGATACATTTTACATTTCAATTCATTTAAATATTATTCAGTTATATATTATTTAATTAAAATGTTCATTTCTAGGCAGTATTTGAAGACAGACTTCTGGGCGTGTTGCACAACGTTTGCAAAAAGATGAATGAAATCCCTCCATAAAACTGCGCACTGGCTGGGTGGGGAGGGGGTTCAGGGGGAAAGAAATGGGATGGTGGAAGAAGGCAATTCTTTCTCTACCAAGGACTCATAGACTCCATCGTTTTTTAAGATTTTATTTGTTTATTCATGAGAGACAGAGACACAGGCAGAGGGAGAAGCAGGCTCCATGCAGGGAGCCGGATATGGGACTCCATCCTGGGACTCCAGGATCACATCCTGGGTTGAAGGCAGGCGCCAAACCACTGAGCCACCGGGGCTGCCCCATAGACTCACTTCAAAGTTATCCCAACTGGCATAACTTCAGCCAAGTATCCCACAGGTACCTACCAAACAAGCCATGAAGGCCTTTGAAGTGATTTAGGTTTTTGACATTTAAAACCGTCAGAAGCACCATGTACTAAAACAAAAATTAAAATCCGACCTGGCTGATTTTTTTTTTAATTATCCACCTAGAAATTTTAAAGGAGTTTAAATTGGTTGTTGGTTTTTTATTATTGTTGATTTAAAATTCTTAGAAACGTGTCTCAAGGTATATAAAATGTGAAGCGTTCACCGAATGCTGTGATAATGCGACCCACTTTCCACTGAGCAAATGGAGGTTCGGGCTGCCTTAACTGGAAGGAGAGAGGAGAGAACTCAGTCCAGGAATTCAAGTTTGAATAAAAACTGCTCAACAAGGGTGCGGGCCAGGGACACCTCCTTAAGGAATCTTGGATCTACCCCAGCAGTCCTGCGTGTCTGAGACCCGCCTTTAGAACCTGCCACTCCCATTTCCCAACGCCAACGCCCTTGACACCCCCCACCCCCGCGCTGCCGCTGCCTGGAGAATGCCACCTCTGAGACCCAGTCGCGATGCTTCCCTCTCAGCCACCCATTTGGGAAGAGACGACCGGCACATACACACATTTCACTAAGGGGCGAGACTTAGCTGGCTGCCCCACCGGTCTAACTCAGGACCCTCCCCTATGGCTCCGCTAGGCCACTGACCATCTGCGGGGAGCCACTCCGCGCTCCGGGCTCTCGACAGGCGTCGAGATTAGCCAATGGCAATGCAGTGAAGGACGGGCTTTGGGATGCCGCGGGCGTTAATAGGTTTTACCTCGGCTAAGGAACCGCTGACAAGCCAATAGCTATGCACAGGAGGTGGGCTTTAGGTCCATCCTAGCCAATGGGAGGTGATGCAAACCTAAGACTTGCTACAAAGCAGGAACGTAACGTTACTTTTAAATAAGAGGCAATGCGATTGTAAGCAGTCCGTCTAAAGCAGTGTGTGGAAGTTTCCACTTCTGAATAATCCTTGAAGAGATTTTTTTCATATACAACACAGGGGTAAGAAGTGTGGGGAATTTACGTGAGAACCAAAACATTACTTTTAACATTAATTTTCCTTATTAAAAAGTCTTTCCTAACAAAATGCATTGAGCAGTAATTTGATTTTGCTAGCCCTATCACCCAAAGTGATAAACACACACACACACACACACACACACACACACACACACACACACACACACACACCATTAAACCCACATAAGATTTTTTGGTTTAAAATTTTTTTTCAAAGCTCACTGTATGCAAAAAAATATTTTTTAAGTTCACTGTATGCTACATATGGCATTTCCATGTTTTCTTAAAATTAAACAAATGTGCAGGTTGCACGTTTTCAATCCCCAAATCCAAGGCTCAGATGATTTTTTTTAAAAAGTCAATTATTTCTCAACAAAGAGGAGGAGAATAATTAAACCAAATAACAGTCCTGTAACTGTTATTAAAAATGTATTCAGATGAGGAAATGCTTTGGTGAGTGTGCTTATTTCTTAGAAATGAACTAAAACTCAAGTATGAAAATATTTAATGGTCAAGCAAAAAAGAATGATATAAACCTACAAACTGAGCAGTGGTGCCACCTTTGAGATGCCAGGGACAGTGATATACACCTCTGGCCCTCCTTCCTAGCTTCCTAAGTAGGGATCACGATTTAATGTGGCAGAAACTATTTTTAAATTTTTAATTAATTAACTGAACAAATGAACAAAAAGTAATTTCCCCCAAGGAAGTGATTCGGAAGTGTCTGGATTTCATCAGAAATGCGTTTGGTAAAAATTTTCTCGAGGTTAACACATTTCAAGCACATATACACTGACCTACAGGCCCATCATAGGTGAAAAAAAGGTTTAATATTTGTTGGTTTACATCA